GAAAGGGAGGAAACAGAAATAGCTTACACAATTCTATCTGAAAGCTGGGAATCATATTTGATCAAAAATATAATAGAAGATACAAGTAAACAACATGAGCTTATGCAGGCTTTGAGAGAAAATATAGTATATAAGGAAATGATATTTTATATGGATAGCTCACTCGTAGAAGGAGAGTTAGTAGACCACACAGCAGGGTATGGAATTATTCAACTAGATAGTAAAGAGACAATAGTTAGAGAACTTAAAAGCAGAATTCAAGGGTGGTTTTTCTCAACTAGATCTGAACTTGTAGCAATTCTTATAGCAACTCTGATATCCCCAAACAATAGTAAGATAGATATTTTTATGGATAGTCAGGCAGCAATACAAGCAATAGGAAAAAGCCAGAAAGCCAAAAGTACTAGAAACTAGTGCAAAATGAAAAATCCTTGTATTCTCGGTACAATTATCAAGATCCTAGATACCAAAAGAATAAATATCCAATTTCACAAAGTAAAGACACATGCTGGCAACTGGTTAAATGATTTAGCAGATAAAGCAGCTAAAAAAGGCACTCAAGAAAGTGAATTTACTTCCATTACTATAAATGAAACACAGGAGATAATGCTTAGGCCGACCTGGAACAAACACCTAATTGATGCTCCAATCTGAAGCTTTATTAAAATGTTCATGCAAATCTTCTACAAAGTCGACTGGTTATTTACTTCAAGCCAAAAAAACAATATACACCAAAGGAGAGTTGAAAAGCAGGACTGGAAAATCTTCAGAAACCTGTGAAGTAAAAAAAAAATTGGAAAATCAAGATCATTAAAATTAAACAAAAAATAGAGTTTTAGACTCAAAAGCTTGAGTGGCCTTCTACCAACACTGCAGTTACAAAAGAGAAATCGTGGAGACCTATACACAACAGCAATCTGCAAAAAATGCAGGAAAAAAAAAGAGAATTTCAAATATTTAACATTATGTGAAGTTGACGAATCCCGGTTGATAATGAAGATATTTCAGAAGGTTTAGAGACGATTTAGCAAGAATGAACTTATATTACATTCTTTATATTAAAATATTATATCATAATTATGTAATTTATTAATTCAATACTTTTTATTTTAATTCTGTAATTTGTATAATATTTAACAATAAAATTTTATTTAAAAAAAATTAATTTATTTTTCTAAACTAAATATTTATTGTACATGCTTTTTGTCTTATTTTGTCTTTGCTACTATATAGTACAGTATATTAAATATAAAATATAATCGCAACACACTCGAAACAGTCTCACAAGACTAATTCTTGCCAATTCAAAAAGAATCGCTTTTTTATCCCATCATTGTTGAAACACATTTCATCGAATACTGGAGTATTGGAATAATAGTAAATTAAATTAGTAATTAATAGAATAATGAGCCTTAGCATATATGCTTATAATATTTCTGCTTTAATCTTGTGATCTAAACTGCATACCTTATGTGGTCGGACTTCAAGTAAATTTCTCAAGACAGTTAAAAAAAAAAGTTAAGGTGCGCACTCGTAAAAAGAAAATTATATAGCATTTTTGAATTATATAACAATATAGTGTGCATTCACTCTGAGATCCAGAGATCTGCGACCGAAGTTCAGTAAAACCTCTATAAGTGCACGCTCTTGGGACCAGGCTTTAACAACGTGCACTTAGTTAATAAGAAAAGGTGCATTTATAAGGGGGCATATACATTTTCGGGCCAGAACTTGGGCGTGCATTCAGAGAGGGCGTGCACTTATAAAGAGTGTACTTATGAAGGTTTTAATCACGGTTCTACGATTACTAGATTATAAGCATTTTATTGGCCAATCTTTACAGTACGTGGAATGATCTGGAAAGAAATCCTGACAGATGATAATTACTAAATAAGGTGCGATCGGCAATATCCAAATATGGTATATTCCCGGACTGTACTTTAGAAGCTATCTAAAATTAGATTTGGGAAATCCGATTGTCGATCCTTGCTGTGTGATTGGCTAATTTATGTAGGTTCAACAGGTTATACTAAAATAGATTTTAAATTGAAAAAAGCCATAAGACCAATTATGAGGAAGTCAATATCGGAGTTACGGAAAATATAAAAAGTCATCTTAGATAAGTGGTCTCATATTCGCTGAATTACACGGATCAATATCTCATATTCGCTGAATTACATAGATCAGTATCTCATATTCGCTAAATTATACATATCCTTATGGGGGATATGATGACCAGATTCCCTATTTAAAGTCCGTACGTACGTACCATACAAATCTGGTACTATTTGTTATTAGGGATCGTTATAGCAGATTGGTATGGTTAAAGATAGCATTTTACACTAGAGGTAATACTTGTTATTCATTAATCCCCGTGATATTGGCATAGTGATCGGGGATTATACACGTAATCATAAGATCCGGATTAAACGAGGTATTTTACACCCCATATTATACAATCTGTTCATACTAGGGTGTCCAGAATTCTGCAATTTTTATCCGTTATTTTTTGCACATAATTGTACGGATTTTTGCAGTTAATCTGGCCGGCACTATTGATGTTGTTTGGTATATAGCTCTATGTAGGATTATTGATTTGATTTAAGACAATTGTCATATATTATTTCGGGCTAACAATAAGCTACGCCTAGTTCTGCAAATCCAAAATCATCAGACCAGTGTTTCGGCTTAAACTTCCCCCCAAAAGTCCGAAACGTTTCGTAAAAAGATAAAATAAAAGTTTAAATCAAATGACCGAAACCCTCCGAAACTAGTTTCGCCCAATTTGATCTACAAATGATCTGCAAAATTGGGTTTCGCCCGAAACACTGCATCAGACCAATAGAAATACACCTTTTAACTACGGATTCTGCAAATTCTGCAATTGCAGACTTCTGGACACCCTAGTTCATACACATCATACTGATCTTCTGTAATCTCTTTACGTTGCAGAAATGAATTATACAATACAATTAAATTATGTCAATATAGGTTAGGATTGAGTGAAGTATTATGGGTAGAATCGCTTTCTCGACATTTTTACTTAATGAGCCAAGAAGGTTTAGACACCGTTCCTTATATTTTTCGTGGTTTTCACTTTTTGCATCGTCAGGCTAATCCATGTAAACAAAAATTTGCGATCATGGCAATGGAAAATATCGTAATGTACCTGGCTTTAGCCCATCCCAAATAGGTATTTTTATTTATCTGCATGCATGCATGTTATGGCCAAACTATAATTTAATTTTTTACATATTACAAATAAAAATTTGTAATTAATTTAATTCATTTATGGAAACAATTGCAACCATACTGTATTACATTTTAAATTATATTTAATAGTTCTCATTAACCTATCTATATATGTAATTTGTGTGCATGTTTGTTCGCATGTACAAAATCAATTTTAAGCATAAAAAATTTAGCTTTATCCACCGGGATACGTATATTTATAATATACTATTTTTTAAAATCTTTCCAATAAAAAAAAAAAAAAGCAATAAACTTTATATGAGTGAACACGTCTTTCAGAACTACGAACTATTAATTAAAAAACGCCCAATTTCTAATTTCGTAAGAAAATTGCTAGAAATTTTTTAACTTAAAAATATGTTCCTACGGATAATCGTCAATAAAGAATGACATATCGAGAAATTCGAATAATTTCGGATTATCATTCGAGTAACAATATCGGCATTGCACATAATTTTATCCGCGTACAATCTATACTTAGGTAGAATATCTAATATTAATCTGTGAAACTTTTTCTCAGTAATAAACTAGTGATAAACAGTACCAAAATATATCTTTAATATGTCCATTCTTGCTCTTTATGCATTAGGATGTTTTATTTTAAGTATCAATGTATATTCACATTTCCATACATACGTACTGTACGTACAGTACGTACGTGTGTATGTATTCAAATCGATTCTAGGTTTCAATGAATATAAATGCTGAAATTTTGGCATTTATATTCTTTTTCAACAAAATCCGATTCACTCGAATAAATAATTATTTATTTTTATATTAGAATAGAATTTATCACCTCAGTCGCCTCTTTGTTCTCAAAAATGTCTAGTGAATTAGATCATGTAAAATCAACCGTAAAATCAGAATGTGTAGATCTCTCGGGTGCAAACCAAAATCTCAAAATTGCCGAAGAGAAGCTCAAAAATTTTAAAAATAATGATTTAAGTGCTAGAGGGTTGGAAGTAATAAAATATGGTCAAGATTTGTTAAAAGAAATTGAGAAATTGATACTTCTCAATGATTCGCGTTCTAAAGGATCTTTAAACAAAAATATAAACATTGAAAAGGATGTAAATAGAAATTGTAAACATAGGCAGAGTGAATTTCAAATATTTATCGAAGAGTCCATAACTTTTCGAAAAATTAAAAATAAATTTTTGGAATTTGATCTTTGCACCTATTATTATAGTACAGAAGAAGAGATAAGTAAGGTATGTAATATTTATAATATTTATATAAATTCAATATTAATTTTAATATACGTGTTTTTGTGAATAAATTTCTGATAAATCTTTTAATAAATAGCATGAAAACGAAATCAATTCTCTAATAGATGGGATAAAAGATTTGATTAACGAGTTTAAAGGTTCAATCGAAGATTGGAAAAATAAAGGCAAACCAAGAAGTCGTTGGAAAAAAGTTAGAACTAGAGCATTGTCCTTGGCCAGCTTTCTTCTGGTTTCTAAAAAACAAATTGATTTTGAGATTACTGAAGAAAAGCTTTTGGGTGGTGGATTAGTTAGAGGAAGTAATGATCACATAATTCAACGAAATTATCTAGAACATAAAGTTGCTGAAAAGATTATTACTGATAAATCTTTGAATGAATTGGAGAAAGAAATTGATTTTATGCAAAATCTTAGCGAATGTTCAAATATTCTTGAATTGTAAGTTTACATTTATCTAAATCATCTTTTATATTGAAAAAATTATAAAAAATTTTTTTTCTTTAAAGCTATGGATACTGTCGTCGACCTAATGGCCTCTCCATAATTTCAGAATGGGCATTTTGTAATTTGCAAGCTTACCTTAATGACCATCTTTTAGAGCCAACTGAAAAACTATCAATTGCCCGTGGAATTGCCAGTGCATTGGATTATTGTCATGAAAAAAATGTTTTACATTATGATATTAGAACGTCAGTATATGCGTATTATATCATAATATTGATATATATTACTAATTAAATTCTTTAAATTTATAATTAGTTCCAATATATTGCTAAATGAATTTTTACAACCTAAGCTTTACAACTTCCGGGCTAATGAAGAGTCCACATCATCAGCACCACTTAGTATTTTAAGGTAATTTATTCTCATTCTGCCATACATATCTATTTTATTCCTTTTTTGAAACACTTTTTTTAATTTTAGGTGGAGTTCACCAGAAAGATTTTGCGGTGAAAAATACAGCAAAGCCAGTGAAGTATATAGGTAACTTTTAGGATTAAATATATGCAATTAATTCATAATTCAATAAAAATAATATTTTTATTTTTATATTAAAAAGTTTTGTACTAGTTATGTGGGCCATTGTATATCAACAAATGCCCTTTATTACCTTAAATTCAAAGGAAGAAATCAAACGCCAAATACTTGACAACAAAAACCGTCCAGAACTTACTACTGTAGACGGTATACCAGCCGAATATCAAGAAATTATTAAAAAATCCTGGTCTCACAATCCTTCTGCACGTGATAATATGAAAATTATTTTAGAACATTTGAATAAATTAGATCTTGAAAGTTTTTCTGACATTTCTAACCAGGATGCAGATGATTATTTTGATTTTAATAGTGCAAGTATGGATCCAGCAACCGCAACAATATTAAAAAGTAAGGAATTTGAGATGTTTCGTCGATATAGTCAATATTCATCCAAATCTGAACAAATAGAACAAGGTATTGAACATCATAAATATAGGAAATATGAAGATTCGTGGAATATATTTAAAGATTATTGTGATCTCAAACCTGAAGATCCGCATGCAAACTTTTGGGTTGGTTTTTATTACCTTAAAGGACATTATGTTAAGAAAGACCTTCAAGAAGGATTGAAATACCTTAAAAAAGCTTCAGAGTTACAACATCCGGATGCACAATATTGGTACGCGTTAACGTTATTAAATAGTTCTGATAAGTTTGAGAATGATGGGTGCGAAACTGCAATGAAATATTTAAGAATATCAGCATTGACGAATTATAAGGCGTTGGTGGTTCTGGGAAGAATCGTACAAACTGGAATTTATGGTCGTAAAGCAAATTATCTCGTGGGAAAAGCGATGATTGATGAAGCTCATAATATGGAAATGATAAGTAAAAAATTAACTCCTATTTAGTTTCAGCATCGTAGAAAGTTATATGTTTTATTTATTGATTCCAGTCAGCTGTGTTATTATTCGTAAGTGGTACGAATTTTACCGGTTAATTAAAAAACTATTTATACACAACATATTTATTATATAAGTAAATCATTAAAAAGAAAAACAACACTGCACTTTCTTATCTATTTATTTATTTCAATCATTTTATTTTATTTTATTTATTTTTTTTTTTAAAGAAAAAACAATCATATGAAGGAAAGCTGAATATCTCTTTTAAAAAAAATTTGTAATGTTAACATATTAGCTTACCGACATCCTACCGATTATTTTTTACATTAACTGCTGCATAAAATTCATCCACATCACCCTGAACATAATGAATTGTTTCTATTCAACGTTGTTGTAATGAGAGCAATCACAAGTTTTTTTCTTTTTATTTGCGAATGATTCGTTCTGCGTATTATATATATCATAGATAGCATATATTATAAAATTTCAATTATTCTAAATAAAAACTCTTTGAAAAGTTATTTGACTCAAACTTTGTCATAAAGATTAAATGCGTATGTTTTGTCCGATACCCATTTGCTTTAACGAAAGCGAATAATTTTACAAGGTAATTATCAATATTTGAGACTAAGATTTTTTACAAGGTGATTTCGTTAGTTTTTGTACTTTATTTATTTAACCCTAAGCCATAACCTAATTCTAAAAAAAAATGCACCCCAAAAGTTTTAAAATTTCTTATTAAAATGGCTTTCGCTCTATTCTCCGAAAGTTACCTCATTTCCCGACTCCGTAATGCCGACATGCTATTTTATCTACAGCACATTTCTTCGATAAGATATATATTCGACATTACATGCTTTTTACAATCCTTTTCTCAGACAAAACATCTCCCCGACAATCGTTCCTCGACATAATATTGAGTTAGTGTTGTTAGAATTGTATGTCGGGAAATAATTGTCAGGGAAATGTCTTGTCTAAAAAAAGGATTGTAAAAAACATGTATTATCAAATATATGTCTTATCGAAAAAATTGCTGTAGATGAAATAACATGTCGACATTATGGTGTCGGGGAAATGAAATAACTTTCAGGGAATCGTCACCAAAACACGAATTGAGTTTATTGCCACTTTGAAGTCTTATCTTGAAATAGAGTAACATCATATGAGTGCTGTCAATAGAAAACCTGTCATCGGACATTCAATTATATTTTGTGTTCAGTTAGCCATCTACGGAAA